GGTAATCATTTCATATAACTCCAATATAGCCCCAATATACTATAGTAGTTTCCATTTTATTTTCCATTATCCCTAATATGGAACCATAATATTGGTAATTATTTAGGCCCCTAGGTTCGGAGCTACCGCATGGGAGGCTTCTTCGCAATGGTCTTCTTATTATCATTGGCACGGGACGGATACTCAAGGGATCCCACGGATACGTGGGTGGTTTCAGGGATCGTGGGCGAACTTTGGGATACCTAGGAAGAATTGTGTGATCTCTTGTTCAAAGCCGCCACATGCGTGTCCTAATAACTATCATCAGCATGGCTCGGCGGGCTTGAGACATAACCTACAGCGACAATGAGCGCTAGCCGTCACAACCTGAAACTGCCCGTAGCTGTAGCGCCTCAAAGAGAGCGCTACCAGAATGACTTGGAGAAAAGCAGTCGACATCATCAGCCGAGAATGGGTGCATTGTTTTTTTTTGCAGGATTGGAGCTATTTGTGTTTAGCTCTCACAAACATGCAGGTCAGAAGCCTGAGCAGAATGGCATCCCTTGCTGCATAGGACGCTGAATTGCGAATTCCTCAACGGTACTACACCAGATGCTGAGGCTTCACAGGGTGAGAACACCGTGAGCTGCAAACTTCTTTTTACTTCCTAGCTGACCTAAACTGTCAGAGGGCTCAGGTACGGTAAAGCAAGGTGGGGTATAGAAAATAAGCTCCCAACATACTGGAATCTACAATAGGACCCTGCAACACATCTCCACCTTTTGAGCCCTCTGGAACTGGCTTCAGATGTCATCTCATAGCTTGCTGCCACAGGCAAGCAAGCCTGAAAACTTCAAGCGGGCGGTCGCATGTGGTAAAGCCCGCTAGATTCGGGTTTAGATAATATTGGGGTCATATTAGGAAAATGGAAAATAAAATGGAAACTACTATAGTATGTAGCGGCAATATGGTAGTTTCCCAAAATTAGGGTACCCCAATATAGACCCCAAAATACTGTAGACCTTATTATGGGGACCCCCAAAAAGTACCCCCAATTTTGGGAAACCCTCATATTGGGTTTAGGGCTAGCCTCGCCACCTTTCATTGGGGATGGCGTGTTTGACCCAACCTCGCTCCCAAGCTCAGATGAAAACAATTTACGAAGGGTATATATAGGGATTATATACTGTAGGGGTTATATAGGGGTAGGGATATGTGGGGTTTAGGGTTTAGGGTTTCCCAAAACTAGGGGTACCTACTATAATGGAGAATCAAATGGAAAAGAAAATGGAAAATGAAATGGAAACTGGGAGTCTACAGGGGATTATAGGGGTTAGGGTTTCCCAAAATTAGGGGTACCCTTTTGGGGGTCCCCATAATAAGGACTATAGTATTTGGGGATCTATATTGGGGTCTCTTTATTTTGGGAAACTACCATATAGGGGTAGGGCTAATAGTGGAATACTGGTTATACAGAATTATATAGGGTGTATATGGGGCTTGTACTCAAATAATGATAGGGTTTATTTAGGGGTTAAGACAGAGTGTTTGGGGTTTGGGGTGTGGCTTGGGGTAGACTAGGCTCACCGCATATTGCCCCCACAAAACATAACTCTCTTCAGAAAACAGGGATGCATAAGTTAATCACGTCACGTCAGGACTCGGGATGGAACAAAAGGAGGAAGAGTCGGGGTTTGAGTACCTCAATTGGGGATCCTTGTCCACAGCATCCAAGCTTGATAGAGAATGTGACAGGCGAGGGGGCCCTGATTCGAGAAACTGCAACATCCCGACCCTACGACAGAATGAAGGACAACCCACTTCTTGCAGATCCCCATAGTAAGGATTGAAGTATTTAGGGGTATATATTGGGGTCCGCCTGTCTGTAGAAACTACCATATAAGCCCAACACTAGTCTGATGCATGGCTTCAAGATGTTACCATGCTGACGCGCCAATCTCTAATGATAACCTGCATATACAGGTGTATACGGTTTAGGGATACACTACCCCCAGTATAGGAAAATCAGAAGGGGAAAGAAGGAAATCCGACGGAACCTTCTGCACCTTGTAAGTATATCCACTATACACCCATGTAGCTTTATGTGGTCTAAAACACACTGCGGGTTGAAAGCCAAGCTGTGCCGCGATCCACCTCTGCCCTCAAATTCGGTCTTCGCTGGCTGCTGCTCCAGGCTCTGCTTCTGGAGAGGTCCTCGGCCAAACCCAAATCCTAAGCCCTAAATGGGGGTTTCCCAAAATTAGGGGTACCATTTTGGGGGTCCCAATAATGGATTATAGTCTTTTGGGCTCTATATTGCGTTCCCCTCATTTTGGGAAACTACCAAATCCTACTTAGAAGAAGGGGACCCATAAGTTAGGGGTGTATGGTTTATGGTTTAGGGTTTCAGGACTCCCTTAGGCCTCCGTGAGGCTCCTCAAGGTCCCGCATGATCTCCTAATATAGAGCCCTCATATATGGGAGTTTTCCAAAATCAGGGGTACCTGCTTGGGAGTCCCCACAATAAGGCTTGCAGTACTTGGGTGGCTATATTGGGCTCCCCTAATTTTTGGGAAACTACCATATGGGGTTGCTTTAGGGCTTCCTGAACCGATGCGGGCTCGTGCCCGAAAGGAGTCTCCATCAAGTCTGGGATATTGTTTGGGTTCCCCCGGCTCTGAAAGGAATGGCTCCTCCCTATCCCAAAACTTGCTTAGAGATACGTACATAATGTATCACATCCAGTCAGACAACTCAGAAGCATGGTATTGAAAACGTAGGTGGAAGATCCCCTCGTGCAGTTGAATCTCTTCCCCCTATGGGAAAGATTCCCGCGCTCATGTTTAGGAGGCAAGGAGGTGTTGCTGCTGCGGATTGCACTTTTGCAGCTCAAGCCGCGGGGTTTGCCTAGGAAAAACACAGGACAGGCCAGCGGTCCCTCTCCTTCGTCCCTTAGGAAACGCGCTGGGCTCGTTTGAGTCATGCGCACCAGGAGCACACTTGCACCCTTGTCATCAAAAGATCCGAGGACTGCACAGCTTCGAATCGAACACCGTCAGCAAAGCTGCTTTCCGGCAACAAGCGGCGCAGCGGCGCGCCCACGATCTTGGGTGTACCCTATGGGATACAAAGGAAAAACAAGGAGGGGATATGGTTCCTATCCAGGATTTGTAGTGGTACCACCTCAGCAGCTTATCAGCTGGCGATGCACAGGGCAGAACAGACTGTTGCCGAATCTGCCCCTGCCCGCTGAAGTTCTGAAGCATGCCGTAAAGTCCGGTACCTTGCCGAGCGTTGCTTCTGCAACGTATACCCCACTGCACTATAATCCTTTATCTGGGGATCCCCAAAAAGGGACCCCAAATTGCTGGAAATCCCCATGCAGGGTTCTGATAACGGCGGCCTCCCAGGACTTTTGCGCACACTTCTCTCATTGAAAAAAATCAGAGCTACAGAGGCATCAGCCAGCTTTGCGCAAGTCGCACACGCTTCTGGGAATCATTCCTCTTCATGGAACCACTGCCCCTTTGCGCAGAATGTTCTTCGGCCACACAGTACTACGGACAGTGATTGACTGTACCTGTAAAACTGGGGCACAGATGGGGAGATACCAATCGTAGGAAGAGATTATTTCTTGGAGCTGTTGCAAAGGAAGCTGCTGACGCAAGATGCAGAATTCCAGCCTCTCTGCCTAAACGCTTCGCGTTGCCAGCAAAGGGCCTCATGCTTCTTCAAACAGTAGATTCTACGTTGGGGCTACATCATCAACTTTGAACAACTGCTCACATCTTGCATGAAGTTCCCAGGCCAGCCATCGCTGATTTGAACAGCGTGCCTGCAAGAGGGTCGCTGTCGAATCAACAATACAGTGTGCTCACCAAGGTAAAGCGCCAGTGGCGAATGATTTACTAAAACATGTTTTGGATCATTTGAGGTCTAAGTCGGCAGTGCACTCTTTGGCATCAGGTCTTCCCGCACCCCTTTCCAAAGCGGCAAACCACGTGGATCGGCTTCGAGTCTCAGGCTCAGCTCAAACCAGCTCCATGACTACAATACAGCCTGAGCGGACAAGCCTGATTAATTACTTCTCCAGCTGACCTCATGCCTGCTACTCCGATTCCTCCTACAGTGCCGAGACTGCCACCACCACTAGTGCCTTTGCAATAAAAAAACAGCAGCAGTAGCTGCTTGATTCTTGCTACTCTTCTCGTACATGATCCTAAATCCACAAACCCTGAGAACTGTGGTACTACAGTGCAGGTAGGGTCATGAATGATTCTGTGCATCAACCGCAGTACTGGTAAACACACGCTGCCAGCCTTCCTGGGCGAACTAGTCCTGCAGTTCACCGACTGAGCTCGAACTTTTCGGGAAGGTTCGGCCTGCCAGGTGCACTGACTTCGCACAACTTACCCCTCGCGTGCACCATGTACTTTAAATACTGCAAATGGTCCTTGCACGTGCTGAGACATGAGGCATATACATATATACATATACACATGTGATATGCGTACATACCTATGTGTATGTATGTATGTATGTATGTATGTATGTATGTCATGCGGAGCACGACGAAGCTTTTGAAATCCCTGATCTTGGGCCTATGTGCGTCTCGTCAAGCATCGCGCTGCCTCCAATCTTTAAGGAGCTGTCTGCAAAGCATAGGCACCCTCAAATAATAGAGTTTCCAGGGAAAAGACACATGGTAGGGACATAAGACTTATCATGGGTGACTTCTAGGTTCAGACCGCAACCCCCTTTTCCTTCCCAATCTTCCATGCCAGTCAGGGAACGCGTGGTTGAGGGAGTTGGGGATCAAGAGATCGGCGAGTTGTGGGTTGTCTGTCGAGTTGAGGATTTTCTAGTGTGGGGCCAGCATCCATGAACGAAGCAGTAAGGCAAAAATGCTCCGTGCCATCGCACTGCAACACTCTCCGGCACGAGTCTCTACTGGACTGAAACCCTCTGTCCAATCCAAAATTCTGCTCTTCTTCTGCAAGCCTCGCCACATCAGTCTCGATTCACTTTGGAGCCGAGTGACTGGAACGGCGCTTGTTGAAGACATGCTTGGTAAATGCAGCGTTGCGATGATCTGGGTTAATCACCCCACCAACATACCTTAGGCAAGGCGACAGGCACAAGCTCACAAGGACATGCGAGCGAGGAAAAGCGGCGCTGTCATGATAATCAAACGGTACATGGGGGACGATTTTTTCGTCTCGACGAAAGACATGAGGGTTTCCCAAAATTAGGGGTAGCTTTTTTGGGGGTCAAAATAATAAGGATTATAGTATTTTGGGGTCTTTCTTGGGTCCCCTTATTTTGGGAAACTACCACATAGGCTTTTAGCGGAGCGTCTTCTCTGCACTGACCAATGCACTCACAGCCCATTCGAAAAGCAGCTCCTGTCCCAAGGCAACTTGAGACAGCTTCGTAATCACTTGTCGTGTTATCTAACTCATCGCTTTCGGCGGGTGTAGGGATGATAATGTTCGCAAGAATTGGAGACTGAGCGATTCTCGAAGCAAAATTGTCTATGTTGTGCATAGACTATTGCTAAACATCAGCTCCAGTCTTCACTTCAGGCATGCTGAACACGACATTGACTCAAAACAGAGCCACGGACCAACAGAATAGACGTGCAACAGAGTCCAAGCAGCCTGCCGTCATGATTCAGGGTTTAAAGGTCTAGGGTCCTGGGTTTCGGCTGCCTGCCTATAGAGATGATTACAACACCCTGTACACTTCAGCATTGCATTTGTTTCCTATGCATCCCGCACTCATCCCAATATATCTTATATCAAATACTGTTGCAGCAGCGAATGACTCCACAAAAAGCCAAAGTTCCAATCTACCAGAACCCTCAACATCCACTCGAATCTCAAGAGTCTAGGCCTCATCTGCCCATGCATCCGTGAGCTGGTCCGGGCACTCCATGAAGTGGGTCCAGAAGGCCACCTGAAACCGCGATGGACGCCATCAAGGTTTAGGAAAATGACAGGACCTGCTTTTGGGAGGAAGGCCTTTTGCCAGCGAAAAATTAAAGCCGGCAGGCAGCAGCAGCAGCAAAATCAAGCAGATGTGGAAGAATTCTGAGCAAGGGCAGGAAGCAGCATGCTCTCTTCTACTCCGCATAGCAGTATCCGTTCTGCCACTGTTGTTACTACTCTTGTGTAGTATTGCGATGACACGTCCTAGCTCAAAAATAAGAAGTCGAGGAGAGAATTCGCCGCAGACCGAATCAAAGGCACTGGCCTTTTCTCTAAGTCACATTGCGCGAGGTCAGGCCTAGGAAACACCCTGGGCAGAACAATATCGTTCAAAAGCGTTGCGGCGAACAAGAAAAACAACAGCTCATGTACCCCAAAACCCTCCTCAGCCATCAATGCAACCAGGATGACAGCATAGCTCCTCACTGTGATGTCATCTTTGAAAATCTCCTGCGGGCTCACTGCATGGCTGAAGAAACAGGTGTAAGCTCCTCAGCAGCTGATGATCTTGCACAAGCATCCCTTCCGAGAAGGGATTGAATGTCAAGGCGTCCCAACATGGAGAATACACACTTACCCATCTTGAGCAAAGACGGTGAAATCCGACTACAAGGGGAGTGCAAGGAAGCAGAAGCAAGAGCTCCTGGAACTTTGCTGCATCCAGGCCAACAACGTCGCACCTTGCATCAAAGAAAACTTCTGTTCTGCAAGAAGATTCGGTTTTCTTGGAAATCAGCAGCAGCATCACTGGCTTTCGTTACTTCGCGCCTGCCAGAAAGCTTTGCTTGGACGTGGCCTTCTGCTCGGAAACTTGCGCAACTTCAAAACGCAGAACATGTCTGGCGATTTCTCAAACTTGCAAATCCTCGTGGGTGCCCGTATGCTTGAGATTACATGCCTTTGAGGGTAGTGAGGGGGGCTGCAATCTTCAAAACCTTCATATGTCGCAGGTTTAATTTGCACCCGAATAGATGGACCTTTTGAGGATCAGCAGCACATAGATGTCTTGAGGGTCTGCACGCTGTCCGAAACTGTGAAAATGCCCAGTATTGCAAGCACGGCATGTGTACGTTTCTTGAAGAGGAGACGGCACAAGGAATACGGAATCACTGCAAGAAGGCAGGGCCGGATTAGATCAGACGTGCAAAAAACCTATGAAGTTGAAGAGGGCGGAAAAACCAGAATCTCTGGCTACTACCTTCAATGGTTGGGACGTTGTTCCCCCATCGTTGCTCTGCAGCCAGGCTTAGTTGAAACCGTTGCCCAAGGCATCGTCCCTGAACCAAACTCATCTTCCCAAAGTGGAGCTGGACCATTTGATCCTTTACCTAACAGTAGTCACTACAAACCAAACACCCCCATAATGCTACCCTAAAGCTCCTTTCAACACATACAAATATGGTAGTTTCCCAAAATAGGGGTACCCCAATATAGACCCCAATATACTATAATCCCTATTATGGGGACCCCCAAAAAGGGTAACCCCTGATTTTGGGAAACCCCCAAATATCCTAGTAAAACTAGTCCAACTGTGACGAGTGGCTCCTCCGCACCGGTAGTGGCGTTGCCGTTGTGACACCACTGCATCCAAAGACACACCTCGGAGATCCACTTGCCTTGCAGGTTCTCAACAATTTTTGTAGGGTTTAGGGTTTAGGGTTTAGGGTTTAGGGTTAGGGATTTGGGTTCAGGGGTTGGGGTCGAGGGGTTGGGCTGAAGCGGGCGGGGTCAACAGGTTTGGGTTTGGGGCTGTGGTAGGAAACATGAGATAGGCTAACGGGTAAATAGGGGGGACCCATAGAGACCCCTGAATACTATAATCCCTATTAAGGGCACCCCCAATACAAGGCCCCCACAAATTTGCGAAACGTTAAACCCTAAATAGTAGTTTCCATGTTCTTTTCATTATCCCTATATAAGTTTCCCTAAACCCTAAACCCTGAACCCTGAACCCTAAATACCCCTATACAACCCTAGATAACCGTATATAACCCTATATATTATTCTAATTTCCCTATATCCGACAAACGGCGGAGGCAAAAAGGTTTGTTTGGAAAGGAGAAACTAACTTTAGGCTGCCAAGTTTGTTTCCGCGCTAGAAACGTTTGTTTGAAACGTTTGCTTCGAAACCTGCCGAGAGTGGAGGGAGGGAGGGTCCCCCGGGGGGGGGAGGGGGGAAACAAACTAACTCAGAAACTTTGGACAAGTTTGTTTTTTGGGCAGAAACAAACGTTT